CAGAGGGTGAAAAGAGGAGCTGCAGCACAGGTAGTATGACAATAAAAAGCTTTTTGAACATTAAAGCATGGAGACATGTCCCAGGAGAGGGACAACATACACATATGAGCCTGAAAATGAGCCGAATAGGGCCCTTTAAATCCACATGCGTTAGTCCTGAGGACCTTTGAGCTAAATCTGGTCTTTCAGGTCACTTTTCCTTCTCTAGAATGAAAGCAAAAGCAAAACAGAGCAGTGGTGTTAGTATATGAATCTTTTGGATGTGTTTGTTTGTTATAGGATGTAGGCTGTATTGTTACTTAACAGTAATATCTACTGTTCAGATCCTCTTTGTTTCTCATAGTACAGTATTCTGTATGTAAAATATGTGTATGTTTTAGGGCTTACAAAGAAGGTGACGATTCACTTTTATAAAACCCCAAGGGTAAATGCAGTGTTCCACATTGTATACAGTACACAGTACAAATACACACTGGTGCACAGGACCCATACACATAAGCATAATGCACAAACACATGCATTTTTATATAAATACATAAGCAATAAGATCAGCATCGACATGGGTCAGTCCATCAAGGGGAGTGGGCAAATTGCATCAAAGCATCATTCAACATTGTTGTAATACCAATAACATGTTACGTATTAACATGCTCTTGTCTTTAGAAAAAACATGTTGAAATATGTGAAAATGGTTCAAGCTATCATTCAATGTAAAGACAAGGATCTTCCAAAAACAATTACGCTTCTTTTTATCTCGTCTTCCTCTTCTCTTGTATGTGTTTGATCAGTTGATGTAGTAAGACTTCAATATTCATTACCACTCCATTCTGCTGCTTTCATCTTTTTTTTCCTTTTTTTTTTCATCCAGAGTAAACTATCTAGCTTGGTAAAAAAATAGTTGAAAACCTTTTCTTTACTTTCTCTTTGTGTGTGTGTGTGTGTGTGTGTGTGTGTGTGTGTGTGTGTGTGTGTGTGTGTGTGTGTGTGTGTGTGTGTGTGTGTGTATAGGTCACAGTGGAGTAAACCAGCTGGGCGGGGTGTTTGTGAATGGGAGGCCTTTACCTGATACTACCAGGCAGAAGATAGTGGAGCTGGCCCACAGTGGAGCTCGACCCTGTGACATATCCAGAATACTGCAGGTAACTTCATCTTTATTAGCGGTACTTACAGTGGTATCAGATAGTCCTGATGAAGCCCCTGATGCTGAGTTCATAATATTCATTTATGGGACATGATACAGACAGTGGCGATTCTTCACCGATTTTACTCGAGGGGGCGTGATGGGGCACATTTAATGTGGGACAAAAGACACAAGATTCTGTTCAAGGATTGTGTTTGATTCAGTATTAAGTCATAGCCTACAAAAAAACATAAAATACCATTATTGGTGTTGGAAATGTAGTCAATGACTTAGTTACAATAGTATTTGATTATATTACTGAAGAAAAACAACCATTCCTGTTATTGTGGACCAAAGTTACAGCAGAGTCTTTGATGCATCACAATCAGAAATTCTATTATCATCATTTTTTCTTTTGGATGGGGGCACCAGGGGGGTCCACGTTCAGTGTTACAGAGGTACAGAGCCCTAACTGTAAGCTTTATCAAAAAGTATTTCATGGAAAAACTGACAAGCTCTAGTGGCCGTGTGAATTATGACAACCGTCATAGCAAACAATCAACATTACATTACATGTCACTTGTTAGACGCTTTAATCCAAAGCGACTGACATACTCAATACTTTGGACAATCCCCACAGGAGCAATTTGGAGTGAAGTGTCTCAGGAACACAACGACATGCTGACTGCAGTGGGGTTCGAACCTGTGCTCCCCTGATACCAACACCAACGCACAACCCACTGCACCACACACCTCCCTCTAACAGAGAAGAAAGTGGCATGATGTTAAAATACCCAGCATGCCTTGTAGCGAGTCAGTCGGGCCTATGATTGGGTTGACAAAGCAGCTAACTTTTTGTTTTAATAGCTACTGAATTTATATATTTTCTTCCATCCTGCACTCTTTTGTTAAAACCTGGCACCTATTACCCATAATGCACGCAGGCTACCAACAGTTTGGATTGAAGTGTGTTATGCTAATGCAGCCTTGAGTGTTTATCCTGCCGCAAAGATGATCATCACCTCCCTTCTTTTTAACTGAACACCCCCAGAGCCATTTTCAAACACTGACACAAATCACTAGAGGCTATTCATCAGATTTGAACAGCTCTCTCTGGAGAAATTCAACGTTTTTACAGCTTGTTTTCAACATATGCAGTATCTTTCCCCAACACCTCAATGCACTGAGAAGATGGTGGAGGTCCACTTTACCAATCGCTGTGATTGTGCCTTAGATCATCTACAAAAAAAAGCTTGTAATTGCAAATATATTTTCACAACATCTGTAAATAACCCATGTGATTTGTGTTGTTTTTGTGTGCAGGTATCTAACGGCTGTGTGAGTAAAATCCTGGGCAGATATTACGAGACAGGTTCCATCCGTCCTCGAGCCATAGGAGGGAGTAAACCCAGGGTGGCCACTCAGGAAGTGGTGGGGAAGATTGCTCACTACAAAAGAGAGTGTCCGTCCATCTTCGCCTGGGAGATCAGAGACCGGCTGCTGGCAGAGGGAGTCTGCACCAACGACAACATACCCAGTGTAAGACCCTTCTGTTCCTCTGCCACGTCGCTTAGAGGGTGCAAGGAAGTCACAGAGAAGTCTGGACTCACACTGTAAAAACGTGTACATACTGTAATAGATGATGTATTTGTTTCTGTACTCTGTGACAGCTGGCTTGGAGGTGAGTAAGTAGGGCATAGGTGGCACAGCTGGATCAAGCAGATGCAATCTCTACAAGAAATTAAATTGCAAAAAATCAGACCAAACTGCTATACACTCAAATCTAAATAAAGCAGTTAAGTCAATAAAAAACATATTTTCTAAAATATTTGTACTTTTCCAGTGTAAGACACATGATGCAATCGTTGTATCCATGTACCAATAATTGGATATTGACTTAAAAAACTAAAGAAAAGGCAAAGATAGACCTGTAATCCTTTATCAAATACTGTTGGTTGCTACAAAAGTACAAATGTTATTTGCAGATTTATAATGTATCTTGGAAGCTTTCACAAATAAATAACAACAATCTTTGTAAGTATATTTGCACATCTAAAGCAGGAACGTAAGAAACCATGCTAGCTGGAGAAGTTTAGTAATGTTCCCATGAGTACATTACATTGAAACAAAAAACGTTATTAAACATGTGTACAGTATTATGGATTGTGTTTTTGAGTGTATAATAGCCAGTTGAGAGGATTCTCTAATTAGAGCTTTCAGGAAGCTGCTATATTTCTCTATTTCGCTTCAATGTGTTACCATACCAATGAAGTTTGGTGGCAAAATATTTTCAGCCAATATGATTTTAAACCAAACCTCAGTAGAATACAGGGGCACTTTAGTAATGTACTTTACCTTGTCCGTTTGTTGGCCAATCTTTTAACCCTACTGGTTATTATTATAATGTAAAACTGATTATATGACTTTCACTCAATGTAAATAATATCCTACTTTTATATTGTGGCCCTTCAATAGTGTTTTGCTTTTCAGATAGTTTACAGATTTGTATCTTCATGGTCAACTGTATTTTCTACTTGTTTTGTTTCTATTTGGAGATGCTCATATTTTATAATTGTTTATTTTCGACTCTTTTTCATTTATTTGTAATTATGTGCAATGCCTCATTTAACAAGTTTATCTTATCTTATTATTTTTTAGGGGTCATTAATGCCTTGGTTAGGTTCTTAAGTTTCTATCCAACAATGCTTTACAATTGTTGTTCTCGTTTATTAACATATCTGTGTTTATCTGCAGGTTTCATCAATAAATCGAGTCCTGAGGAACCTCACCAGTGATAAACCGCAGATGGGCACAGTGGGAGCTGAGGGGATGTTTGACAAACTGAAGATGCTCAACGGACAAACCTCCTGGGGGGGGCGCTCAGGGTGGTACGCTGGGACTACACTTACTACTCCTGGTAAGACATTAAGTCACCTACTACTTCTACGACTAGCAATACTACTACAGTATTGGAACTACACTCACTGCCACCGGACACCCCCTCTTTCCATTGAGGCGTTTCCAGGGCAGCTGCGCCAACTGCCCCAAAGATTGGTTTCAGTCCAGCGCCAACTATTTGCTCAGCCAGAACTGAGAACAGAGAGCACCATAAGTCAGATGCTGGGGCGGAGCAAAAACAGTACATGGTGAGAGTAGAAAGTCGTTGCGGAAGCCGTAGCACCAAGATCTCTAAGTCGTTAAAGTGCAATCAGACATCATACATGTTTCATTACATGGTATTTAGTTGAGGCTTTCATCCAAAGCTAATTACATACACTTTCATACCAAGAAATGTGGGCTTATAGCCTCATACTTTGAATTACAACCTGTTTGCTGTCATTGTGGTGAATTATTGTTTTTGAATGTTGATTATTTAGACTGGCTTATGTGGCTAGGTTAACGTACTCCATGTAATATGAGAGAAAATATACATTATACAAATCTTTTATTTAAAGCGCCATGTTGCCAAACATTGTCAATTAAAACTAAAAAGAGAAATATTAAGAAGAGTATCAATCTAGTTTTTAATAGCAACATGAGCACAGCTCCAACATGGATGTATTTGTGAAGGATATTCACACTGGTTTCATAAACAGTGACATCAGGACTCCTCTCAGGCTCTGGTCAGTGGAAAGCAAACTGGTTCTTAAGTGATTTGCAGGTTGAACCAACTATGAACAAAACTAGACTCAGCACACAACTCAAACGGAGCTCATTCCAGTGGAAAAGGGGGATCAGAGGACCTTTCTGACTGAATATGTGGGTCATTTTTAGCCCTCATGACTGAGTTAGACCTAATATTTTAACCCAAGTTAAGATTCTAAGTTATGTTAGACATTTATTTGTGTAGGTCATGCATTAAATGATATAAATACAGTGTCCCCCACTTAATGTATCAGTGTCACTGTTACTAATTGTTCCTGCTTGTATAGACTTAACATTGAAAAGACATGATAGAGAGACAACAAAATACAACTTTGAGATTTTAATTTAGATTTTTGATTAAATAGTACATTTTCAAAGTTCTGTGAATGCAGTCTTCTTTATTCAAAGTATAAACATTAATCGTGTTACAAAGTCTGGGTCTGGTATTAACATTCAAATACTTTGTTGTTGACTTGATCTCAGGTCACATTCATCCTATTGAGCCATGCTTTTAATTATTTCTTCATAAAAAGAATGCAGCAGCCGCAGTAAATTGCCCACTTGCAAATTGATTCAAAATTCCCATTATACGGGACAGAGGACACATTGTGTGGAGCTGACATGATCAGCTTCCCTCTCCCTCAGTGTGTGTGGCTGAGGCCCCATTTGCTGCGTGGAGGGCAGGCTCATATGCTGCTGCTCCTCCTCCTCCAGCACCCTGGGATTACAACAGAGAAACAAAGTCAGGCTATACTACCACGGCTGCTGCCTCCACATCTGTGTGTGTGCGTGTGTGTGTGTGTGTGTGTGTGTGTGTGTGTGTGTGTGTGTGTGTGTGTGTGTGTGTGTGTGTGTGTGTGTGTGTGTGTGTGTGTGTGTGTGTGTGTGTGTGTGTGTGTGTGTGTGTGTGTGTGTGTGTGTGTGTGTGTGTGTGTGTGTGTGTGTGTGTGTGTGTGTGTGTGTGTGTGTGTGTGTGTGTGTGTGTGTGTGTGTGTGTGTGTGTGTGTGTGTGTGTGTGTGTGTGTGTGTGTGTGTGTGTGTGTGTGTGTGTGTGTGTGTGTGTGTGTGTGTGTGTGTGTGTGTGTGTGTGTGTGTGTGTGTGTGTGTGTGTGTGTGTGTGTGTGTGTGTGTGTGAGCAGGGGAGGGAGAAGGGGGCGTCTTCTCTCATTTGTGTCTCTTTCTGCCTGACTGACTGTGACACTGAGCAATGGCTTCATTCTGTTTTGCAGTCTCTGTCTGCTGGGGATAATGAATAATTAGGCTAGCACCACAAATAACACGAGTTCCACAGGGAGGGACTGGAGCGCTCGTCTGCTCAGGGATCACATGTTGGAGATCTCCTCTCTGAAGGGCCTGTACCTTCACTTTACCTCGCATTAATTAGAATACAACGCAATTTATCGTGTACTGATCAAGGGTGTGTTTTAGTCAAATAGTGGAGCCACTCATTTAGTTGGAAATACCTGGACAGCGCTTAAGCCTATATGGGGTAAGCGCTTCTTTTGATTGCAGATACGAAGAATTAAAACGTTATCAAGGTGTAACGCTTACAAGAACCTATATTAATATTCTAAATATATTATTGTTGAATAGTATACAAAGCAATATAATTTAATATTATTTTGTGCATGTAGCACACAGATAAAAAAAAAACTTTATAAAAGTAAAATATATCAAAAAGAAAAGAAAAATAGTTAAATAAAAAAGTCTTTGTTTTTAATCATTTATCTTAATGTTGTACTCATATTATTTGTATGTATTATACAAAGCAATATATTTAAAAGAAAATGTAATTATAAAAAGTATACACAGCTTATTTTAATGCAGGTAGCATACAGATTAGCATAACATACCTGATAAGTATTGAGGTATGAGTACATCTATACACTTTTTAAAATCAAGCATTTGTTAACACATCAATTGGATAACACTGTCATCAAAGCATTTGAACATAAAGAACATTATTCCATACTAATATGAGCATTTTACACCAATATGCGGACAGTATGATGCTCAGAGGGGGGAGGTGTTAGGAAAATGTTTTTCTTGAAAAACATAAATGTTAATATCATAAATCTGTGAAACAAACTCACCTGAAGTAACATGAAAAACGAATTTCCTTGTCATTAATCAGCCTTAATAAAGCTGTTTGAGTGCTATGGTTAGTTTAAAAAACAGACTAGATTTTTTCTAAAACATTGTGATTTATATACATGTTTATGTTGTTGGTCAAAACTATATTTAGTCCCATACCATACTTAAGATAAGTTTGAGGTTCACCTTCATTTTCTCCATTTTCAACAATACCTTGTACCTTCCTTCCTGTGCGCAGAGTGTCCGCAGGCGGAGGGGGGGGAGAACACCATATCAGGAAGTTCCAACGGTGACGACTCAGAGGAGACTCAGATGAGGCTCCAGCTGAAGAGGAAGCTGCAGAGAAACAGAACGTCTTTCACTCAGGAGCAGATAGAAGCACTGGAGAAAGGTACATGGAAGTTGTGTATCAAAACATCGTACAGCTCCACACACATTAAAACAGTATACGTCTTTTCTCTATATGTCTGAAGTGAGGAACACCTCCACTTTGACTGAACTGAGGCCAGTCAGATTCCAAATGTTCCCATATGACAACTATAGGGATGTTCACATGATGACATCACTAACCCTGTTCAAACTGTTTCAACTACCGTAAAGGCAATTAGGATATCAAATGAATCACCAACTGAATCACTTATTCCTCATTAAAAAGCCTGATTTTGGTGCTTTTTTGTTTGGCTAATAAGGGATGGTTGTTGTTGAAGTCTCAATAGGCACAATTGCACGTTGCACGTGTTGTGTTACTGTGTTCTACTGCCTAATTAATGTTCATGAAGATTGAATGTATCAAGCTACAAGACATGCCTGGTGTTCTGGAAATGGCAAATGTCTCTTACATCATCCAGTTAAGTTAACCATTTTCTGAAATCTTGAGAGCATTAGGTCAATTTGTCTCATATACCTTCCCTGATTGGACTGGGTGGAGTTGGGTCTATGCCCTGAAACAAATACAGGCATCAGTCATCTGCATAAAGCAAGATGAACATCAACCAATTTGAATACTTTGTAAATATTTGATCTTTTTAATCAAGTATTCTTGCCATGGAGGGCATACTGTATATAACATACAGAACAACATTTCATTTGACAAGGTGTTACAGATTTTGGAAAACAATGCTTCATTATAAATACATTACTTTAAATTAGAAACAGCATACTATCCTGTCATGACACAATGTGTTTTTCTTCCAGAGTTTGAAAGGACTCACTATCCAGATGTGTTTGCCCGAGAACGCCTTGCCAACAAAATAGACCTTCCAGAGGCCAGAATACAGGTAAGCTCCATGTAATATGATTTACTTAGGCTTACAAGTCAGTACAGTCAGAATGTCTTAGTGCTTGTGTGTGTTGCAATAATATACGTTTTTATCAAACCCTTTAATTGACCTAACCCCAATCCTTAATATGATGAATATAACCGGTTTGCATATGGCCACATTAGTGTTGTTTAAAAGGCGAAGACATTAAAAGGAAGACATGTGAAGCCCTCTCTTAACCTCATTTCTATCATTGCATGTGCAGGTTTGGTTTTCCAATAGAAGAGCAAAGTGGAGAAGAGAGGAGAAACTGAGAAACCAACGTCGCCAGGTGTCCAGCTCCTCCAACCATATCCCCATCAGCAGCAGCTTCAACACAAGTGTTTACCAGCCTATACCACAACCTGCTACACCAGGTACTGTAATACTACATACAATTGCATACTCTACCACACAAAATGTATTTTAAAGCATGTTTCAACAGGCCTTTTTTCACAGAAGACATGTTGTTTGTTTGTTGGATGGAGCATGGGATTTTCTTGACCAGAGTATTACAATATTTCCTCAAGTTTCAAATAAATTGCAAATATGTATAGAAACTTCTCAGACAACTCCTATGGCATCATCTATGTATCTTGTGTCCTAACAGAAACACAAAATTCAAGCAAATCTTGGCAAAATACAAAACATGGATAGTTGTTTTTCTAAAATGTCTCTGTTGCAACAGCTGGCTCACTTTAGCCGTTTGTTTTGCCATATAAGTTTATTTGTGATTTCCAAACAATGACCAATGATCTCTACTGCGTCCACCAATGTCATAAAGACATTATAATAGCTTGTATGTACGGTTACATTGCATGGAATATAACAAATCTCATTGTTCTGTTCATTTCTCCATCCTCTCTAGTGTCCTTCTCTTCAGGATCCATGTTGGGAAGGTCGGATTCAGTTCTGTCCAACAGCTATGGCCTACCCACAATGCCCAGCTTTAGTATGGCTGCCAGTCTGCCTATGCAAGTAAGATTACTCGACTAAACAGCAGAACACACAACTAACCAATCACTGCAACACCCATCTGGCTTCAGCTGGGATTAGGGTTAGGGTTAGGGTTGTGCTGATATACATGTGATGGTCAATGTGTTGACACAGTTGCTTTAAACATCTTTGTGGGAATGTTTGTCTTGCATGAACTTGGCTTATCATGATCCTGGTGGTGTTGGGGGGCCTGAATTCATTTCTACCCGTTAATCAGATTTACTAATTGACCTATCACAACCTATTGCGTCTACAGTATGAGAGTTTACCGCCAAACCTGGATCCACCTGGATCGGCAAGGTCTTACTTCCACTCACTTGAGGGAACCTTATAGGATTCCAGTGTATATATATAAGGTGTGGCCCTAACCAAGTGTGAGTCTGGCAGCTGTGCAATCTTACCTTATAGCAGCAGAGGAGTTGTGTTCTGATTGGTTCTCCCAAGCCAAATGGTTGGGATGTTTTCATTTTGAGGTATGGTTCACAGTTTATACAGGCTTTTATGATTTGGTCGTTACAATGTGACAATTGTTTCTTCCGACCCAATATCAAAGGAAACATTGGGTCGGTAGAACTGAACTTAGCGGCTTTAACATTAGTTTTGACAACCTCAAAAACCTCCATTTCAAAATCAGTTTCTGGACTCAGAGCTTCCAGCAAAACAAACACTGATATATGTAGCAAAGAAGTTGAGGCTCATTTAATTGTTGCTATGTCACATGGTTTGGTTACACATTGTATTAGATGGATCCAGACAATGTTTGATCATGGATTACGGAAGGGTCTCAGACCACCAACATGAATAAAGACACATAATACTGGGAGCTGAACCTTGTGGGACCAAAAAGTATTCACATACGTACATTTTGGAACTTATCGAACATATACAGGATCTGCAGATTTAAGCTTGGGTGTATTGTTTTCACCCATCAGTGGGGGGGGGGGTTTTGAATGAAAATACCTCTTCACACTTATATGGCTTGTTTAAAGTAGCCTTTCCTGAGGGAAAATAAAGTATTACTTAAGCAATTTGAAAGGGAATTGCATGCAATGTAAAATGAACAGCTTAGTTAATTTTCTTACGATAGTTACAAGACTTTAACAACACTGCTAATGTTGCATATGACCAACCCAATGGAGAATGGCTCATCAGGGTGTTACATTCTGGTTTTAATGTTCAAAATGATTTGATGTTTCCAGGCATCCAGCCAGAGCTCTTATTCCTGCATGCTGCCCACCAGCCCAACTTTAAATGGAAGAAGTTATGAGACCTATACTCCTCCACACATGCAGCCACACATCAACAGCCAGTCAATGACGTCCTCCGCAACATCGTCAACAGGTAGGAAGTAAACTGACTACAGTTGATTCTCCTCAACCCTCCCCTCCTCTATAATACCTTTGATTGATGTCAGTGTCTTCACAAGTGGGATAATAGAATTGTTTAAATGTAAATGCAACATTTGGGGGAAGCTTTGAGAACATTAAAGCGTTACCCGTTAGACTCTTAACATCAACACGTCACCAAATGCACATTAATAACAAAACGGAAAACTGAGAGGCCAACCCAATTGAACAACACAACAACAGTTCATATCACAGCACAATATATCATGTTGTGCAGCATTCCATCAAATGGAAATATTGTTCATTTTCTTCAAATCACACAAAACTTGATGATTTTTGGTATTTTCGGAATTTCCCCTAGTATTTAAAATAGAGTTCTGTCGGTTTGCACAATGATTACAGTAGCTGTACAATTTTCATAAATGAAGATAGAAGGTCCAGGGAGAGCTTTCCAGACAAAAACTAAAACATACTTAAATAAAATAAAAATATACAGAGCTTCTTTTAGGTCTTTCCAACCATCTGCACGTTTTTCGATTTTAATGCCTTGTGTAAATTCTATACATTATGGGTTTGCATACAGGAAAAACACACCATTAGACTTTGTTTTGGTATGTCTGTCAACTCTAATGATCCCTTTGCTCCATCTCACCAGGTCTGATTTCCCCCGGGGTCTCAGTTCCATTGCAAGTTCCAGGAAATGAAGTGGATATGTCACAGTACTGGCCACGCCTGTAGTGATGTCATTTCTGACAGCAACAGGACTTCTGCAACAGGACTGTATGGGACCTCAAAGCATCCCCTATTCCTATTTTATAGCCTGAATGTGAATGCACCAGTCATTGACAAAAAGAAACTGCACCGCAGGAATTACTCTGATTAGTGTTTGTGCAACAATTCCGGTGACAAGCAGGACAGAAGGATGATCAATCTTCCAACTGAAGGATTTAAATATCACCACAAACCAGTGCAAGAGGATAAAAGGTCTTTGAGAGTTCTGCCCTTGAAGCCCAGAACAGAAAGCTCTGTCCCGAGCTGTTCTCTGGAAGCTCAGGAAGCTGGCCCATCCTCTGGCAAAACTAAACTCCATATAGGAATAAAATGCTGAGTGTCCATGTGGAAAATCTTTGGGAAGACACATTACCTCGACTTTCAGTTCCTGATGTATATCACGTTGGTGTATGTAGCAAAAAAGACTTTGACTGAAACATAAAGGGAAGAACTTAATGAAACTTGAAATGAACTCTCTGCTGTGAATTTGTTTCATCAGCTGATTCCAAAAGCTCCGGCCGGGAATGTGTATAGAATTTCAGAATGTGGATTCTGGTGATATGTGTTTGGTATTGTAAAAACTTGACCTGGATGTGATTTGCTAACTAGCATGGAATGAGAAACTGATAAAGGTTTAAGGACAAAAATATCAGTTTGTTTGAATTCCAAAGTTTGTATGTCCAGAAATTAAACGGTTAACAAACCATTGAACGACTGGAGGCCTCAATGCTTGTTTATGAAAAGTGAACATAAGACTGTGTCTGGGATGTAAATCTGTTTCTAATTTGAAAGTGTAAAGTATTTGTCTTCTCCAGTGATCTGGGAAGGTTTCCATAATAAAGTTATTTCAATTATAATCCTTGTTATGTGATATGTATATTGTTTTGGTTGTATTAATAGAATGTTTTGTTGAACCATCCTTGGTGAATCTATGATAGGAAACATTGGAGCTGTTCTGGAGGATTGTGGTAAATCTTTTTACTGGGTTCTACTGGGTCATTTAAAGAAGGTGTTGGTGTTAGATAAATATGTTTGCAACAGAAGTGGCAAGACAAATGATTATGTATATAATAAGTGGTGCAGGAACTATGAAGCAGTAGTGACTACCTGCAGGCCAGGGAGCCGAAGTGTGTGCCAAGCTAATCAGTATTTAGAGCAAGTTAGCCACAATAACTCCCACTAGATAGCTTGTTTGCTAGCTAGATTGGGGTACCCTGTTAATGCAGTGTTTGAGGAAACATATTGTTCCTCCTGAACCTGCACAGCATAGAGCAGGGTTCCTAGTATGCAGACAACAGAAGGATACTAAAACAAGCACATAAAGGCAATTTAAGCTTACTCGTATGGCACTACTACACAACACAAGAAAATCCAGTTAGAGTTAGAGGCCATACACATGCAGCGTGTGGAGACTCAAAGACAGGGGCACTCGCACTGCCAACTTTTCGGTGGCACTGAGGCAGGTTAAGTCTAACTGGATTGCTCTGAAGGCATCGTTAATGCGTTGGAGGCTGCCTTCTGTGCGGAACAATCAATCAAAAACAATCAAAGGAAGCATACAACACTGTTCCTGTTCACCCACTACCTAAGTAGCAACAAACATAGGACCATTTTGAGAATGTCTTTGCTTAAATTTACTTTTCGGATTAGCACCTTCCCATTGGCTCAAAAATGATGGGTCAAAGTCCATGAAGTTGCACAGTACCCAGTACTCAGTTGGCAGCCACAGAGGACATTCTTGCTTTTGGTTGTCTTCAAGTTCAAAGTTGGCAGCACTGCACCAACACATAAATAATGGTAATATTATGATGCCATGGTGGGCATGTCTTTGTTTCCCCTCAGTATCACAAAGATTAGTGGTTTGATGGTGCATTCAGGGAGCCAGCATAAACATCAGCATCATTGGTCAGGTTCAGTTAGCCATTACTGAGGTAGTGTGGTTGTCTAACAATCGGAAGGTTGGGGATTCGATCCCAGTTCCCTGCAGTCAACATGTCGATGTATCTTTGGACAAGATAAAGAACTTTTAGTTGCCCCTGATGGCATGGCCAACGTTGTGTGAATTAAAAAATAGTATCCCTTGAGCAGGTGGCACCTTGCATGGTAGCCTCTCTGCCTCTGTTTGAGTGGGTAAGTGCCTACTTGTATATGTTAAAGCACTTTATAAATGCAGTCCACTTACTATTCACCGTTATTGAGCAAAAAAAGAGCTTATCGCGCACGCCATTCTTCCTCGATACAGTTCCAGTGGAAAATGCAGAGTTTTATTCAATAAAAACTATTTTCACAAAAGAAAATATAGCCAGTGACTTCCACTTTTGTAATATATCAATTATGTTGGAACAACACCTTTTGCTGTTTTGTTCTCCATTTGTAGCCAATGTGTATTTACTACCATCATTTGGGTTTGGTTTCATGAATCAAAAAATTACAGCGATTGTGTGAAGTTAGGGTTGGTCTTTATGAAGCTGGGGATTTCAACTGGTAATGAAGTAGCAAATGGCATTCAGAACACTGCAATATTAGCACACAAAAACACACACACGCACGCACGCACGCACGCACGCAAGCACGCACGCACACACACACACACACACACACACACACACACACACACACACAATGATTTCTCAACAAATAATCATGCAGGTGCTTTTCTGCCCAAGATAAAGGACATAATGGATGTTTCTAAAGAAATCCTACCTACAATCTGAACATATTTTTTATTATATAAATATAATCTTATTAATATCTATTAACATTTCCATCGGGGCAGCAAAAACTATTCCTGGAAACATGCTTCTTCAGGCACTGGGTTAAAATCAAACTTCAATTACCTGGAATATTTATTTTAATCTTTCTTTATCTGTATCAAATTATGTTTACATTTTATATTCTATAGCTGTGACCATATAAATATTAAATCAATCAAATGTTGCATCCAATAGGGTATATCGAACTCCAAAGCAAGCAGAAATCGAAAATGTGTGGTGTAGTAGGACACACACACACACACACACACACACACACACACACACACACACACACACACACACACACACACACACACACACACACACATACAGAAAGCAGCTTGCTGTCACAGTCCTCTCCCAGCTGCTGATGTCTTCATACAAATAATCATCATTTACATTCTAATTAAAAATCATCATTATGTTGATCATCTACATCCTAATGAAAAACATTTGCATGGTAATCACAGCGGGGTTGTATTGTGACAGGGAAGCATTCTGCCTTTTCACAGATAAATAAAGAGACAGGCAGAGAGATAATGGAGAAGTGAAATGAAACCCAGTGAGCAGATGGGAATCAGCTCATTGTCTCAGTCACTCTGACATCTTCATTTCAATCAGAGACACTGTACACAGCCTCCAGAAACACACTGTTATT